TATTACTTTATTCCGATTCAAGGCTTCCTAACGCAGAAGTGGCATCCGCCTGTTGCCTGTCTAACAATTGTGACGGGGGTGGAATAAATAAAGCCTTCATTAAGGCATTTAAAAAAGCCTATAAAAGGCATAAAAGGGGTAAATTCTTGCTCCCCAAACGCTCCAGATTTTTTGGTGAGTTAATGAAACACTTCCACGTACAGTAATCGTTCCAGCAATCACATATTTCGCCTTATTGGTCAATTTTATTTTTTTAGATCATCAGGACCCGAACGACGACGATGGGCCCGATTCGTCCACAGGTGCTGCGTCATGTCCCCCCCTATTTTGCAAAGTACCGTTATTGATGAATAACTATGACTACTGAGCCGAAGAACCTATTTTTTTGTACAATATCATTTTCTATACGTTTTTTTTACAAATAATACATCTTCCCTATAACAAATGTCTTCAAAAAAGTTATCTATTAACGCGTTTCGAAAAAAGGGGGGAAAATGTGATAGAGGAGGTACCCCCTGTCCGGCGGAAAATAGAGGGTCTACATTGTGGACCCAATGTAGACGTCCCGTAGAATTCTACAATTTGTTCCACGTAGAATTCCCGTAGAATTCTACTTTGTGGACTTGTAGGATTCCCGTAGAATTCCCGTAGAATCCTACTTGCTATTGGGGATTAAGGGAAGGGGGCAGCAATTGTTCATTCGGGCGCATGTTTATCCTATGGTCAAATTCTGGGCTGTTTCAATTTCCAAAAAAACCCAGAGGCAGTGTGAAGGGTTTCGAAAATAATGTCAAGCTGTACCAGCGTCTAGAGTACCGAAATCTCATAAAACCAGCGGAAAAATTAACTAAAATCCAAAGTGCTTACTTTTGACCTAGCGACAACGTGGCAGTGAAATGTGCTAAAATTAACTCGTTGCAGATGTAGGAAGCTCGACGGTCTCAGTTAGATGACAAAAGGAATCATCCTCATCGTCAGGAAGCATCAGACACAAAAAAATGTCCCTGAAGAACAGTATTCTTCTCGTCCATTTGACACTTGGCATATGGGGATAAACAATGCAATATTTTATACCAGGTTTCTAAATAAATACATGGCAAACACAGAAACAGGTAATCATGGAATAAATTATTTGACAAACTTTACCTTAAATTAAACTGGAAACACTTTTTCTGCGCGGGAGCGCACAAGTCAAAGTTTGCGCCATATTCGCCATATTTGCATTTCAAATCTTAGCTTTTGTTTCAAAGATCGTCCATTGCGGAATTGACGGTAAGAAATGTTCTACCCTGTAGTAGTCATTATTAGCTGATATTATTTACCGGAATAATTCAGTTATTTTTTTCTTGTAGAGAATGCCACCGAAGAAAACGAAGCTTACAGTAAGTTGAATCATTATATCCCGCATTTACTGACCCACTCTTTTAAATTCCATGCCCTTGCATCTAAAAACCTGGCTAACACCAATTGCTTTACTGCATTTCATCGTAGCCTGCTCTAAGAGAATCTCCATCCCTTATAGAGATCACGTAGTAGTTCTCGGTCCAGGGCCCGACCCGCCTCTAAAAAACGCTCACCATCTCGGAGGTCCGTATCACGATCATCCAGATCGCGGACGCCAGCCTCAGAGTCCAAGGTCGTCAGGCGGCGGTCTCCTAGCCTCTCAGATGATGAGCAAGTGGTTAAGTCGTCCAAGCAGCAGAGACGCGGTACGCGGGCCTCTTCGGCAGGCAGGATCGTAAAGTCTTCGTCCAGATCTTCTGTAAGGCTCATTGAAAAACTGGAAGCCCTTCATCCAAGTGAGGCAAGGTATGTTGCTTTGATTGGCTACCTGACTTTTTTATATCAACATCCTTGGTAGTAATACGATTGTTGTTGCTGTTACCGTGCTGACCACAGATCGCTTTAAGACAGTCCTTATCATTTTTTTTAAAGAACGGATTCTCCGAAGTCTCGCTATGCTGACGCCAAGCCGACTTCCTTCGGTCGCCGATTGGCCGTGAGTGTCGGGTGTTTAATGCATACCGTTTATCATGGTATCTTCTCTGAAGCCACCGGCTGCGTACTCGCTACTCTGCTCCTGCCGCTTATGGTTTTATACCTGAACTTTTTGGTACTTGCTCCGACCTCTTCTGAGAGTGGCACGCACCTAGAAACGCCCTGGGGTCCGGGCATGTCTTTATTGGGCTCACTGTGGCCATCGGATGTGCATGCGTACTTCGATCCATATGCCGCTGTGCTCGTCTTGGGGTTCTTAATGTTTACAATGATCGTTTCGCGATTCATGCCTTTCGGACGGAGCTTCACTGTCATTGCCGGCGGTCGTCGCACCGACGCAAGAGTTAATGGTATGTTAGATCTCACAATTTTAGATATGACCTTTTTTGTTTCTTTTGGCCCATAGGTGCATTTATTTTTCCACAGTCCGTTATAAAACTGTTTAAAAAAAATTGTGCTCGTAAACTATATCGGTTCGTCTCTCCTGACTGATTTGTCCAATGGTACTTTTAAAGGGTATTTTTCTAATGTACGCTCCTCAGGTTTGATAGTCGCTCTTCTTTGTGCCACCATCATGGGCCTTATTCAGTGGAAGGGCGATCACTATGTTCACGGATTCCAACCAGCCAACCTTCACAATCACTGGCCGGGTCTCCTAACTACCAGCGTTATCTTGAGTATCACCACTGGAATGTTCGCCTTTTGGCATGCTGGAGGCCATCAACGTTATCCTTTTTTCAGCAGACATATGGGTGAGCTGTGTTCCTTTTTTGCAGCTGTCTCCTAGTCTCTATGCGCTCAGATGTTATTGATCCTAAATTCTGGTTTCATTTTTAACAGGAAAAGCTATAGTGAAGTCTTTCCATGGGATTGAAACTCGTCCTCGTGTGTTTGGAAGTGATTTTAAGCTTCTTCTGCTCTATCCCTCGATGATTGGCTTGAGGATACTTGAAGTGACCCTGGCGTTACGGCAGTATAATGAGCATGGTCGCGTGAGTCCTGCCCTATTCACAGTTATTGCACTACACGGCCTCTACATATTCGACTTCTTCGTTTTTGAACCAACTATTCTCAGTTCGTTCAAAATGAATCACGAGGGCTTTGGATTGTTCCAGACTATTCGGCTTTTCGTCGTTTTTCCTTTTATGAGTGGCCTTAATGCCTTCTTTCTTGCTGTTAACTATGATGCCGGTCACCCGGGTACTGAGCTGAAGTCTTACTCCACTGCTCTCTTGATCGCGTCTGTTTCGGTATTCCTGATTGGCCTGTGGATCAAGCGCATCTCCAGCAACGAAAAGTACCTCTTCAGACGAG